AAAAAAGAATTTCTATAAACTTACGTAAATAACGTGTAATGTATTTAGAATTTTATTGGAAAAATTTAATTTTTAATTTATTAATAGTTAATGAACATGTTAATTTAATAATAAATGCAATTTTACACATGCAATGACTTGAAATATTGAAACGCAAAAATTTGTAAATTAATAATATGTAAATTGTATTACAATTAAATAAAATTGTAAAAATATGACCCAGGACAATTAAACTGTTTGTCAATATCAAACATCCACTTTATAAGCAGTTTCATAATCACTGTCTCGATTGTCAGCACCGGTAGTATTGAGAGCGGTAGCCGTCATAAGCATATGGTTTTTATCATCACTCTTGGGATCAGTCTCTTCATCGGCGGTCGAGTCGTCGTAAAAATTCTTAATACTTTTAGCGTTTAAAACAATTCCCAAATCAAACACAGAGCCGACGCACACGAATAGGAGGGCCACCCCGTGCAACATGTATCGGAATTTATCCTGGTCATACAACCAACAGTTACCGGTTTTACCGCATTTACTCTCCCATACCATACACGCAGAGTCCACGACAGCGCCGAATATCAACGGATACGGTATGAATGCTAGCGATGTGTGGGAATAAGATTGACCATGGGTGATTTAATAAATATATTTAGTAAAAACATTATTATTTAAATTAATTAATTAAATTAATTAATTACTTACAAAATAAGGCCAAAAAAGTGCCAATCATTCCCATCGCAAAGCTCTTGTCTTTTGGATCAATAACCCTATTATTAAATAAATAAATAATTATAATAATAGATTAAATTAAGATTTTATAATAAAATAAATACCTTAGTGTAAGCAGAGTATTGCCTGTGCGGGCGGTCGACGATATGATGGATCCGGTGGTCATCACAAACAGATAAAGCGGTAATTTATTACAATTATCGGTATCGCTTTGACAGTACCCTATTGTGCCGACACCGCCATTACCTTTGATGCACGAACAGCCCGATACTCTCTATTAAAATACCATGTTTTGTTAGCTATGTAAATAGCAACCAGGTAAAATATACCTTTGCCACTCTGTCTATTGTATGACAGCCGGCGTAGCATGGTGAAAAATATGTGGTAGATTTATCTGACCCGCATATAGGGGTGAACACACTGGTGGTGCAATCGCAGCCCGCATTACATCGTGCGCTTAATGAAAACCTAGCACATTTAGATATTGTTATATTACATTAGAACAATTATGGTAAAAATTCATTTTATAATTACTGATTATTTATGGTGAGTGTAGAGGGGAGGGTAAGGGGCGGACAGCCAATGAACATGGCCGCAAAAAATGCACCGTTGGTAAACCACTCGACCACAAACATATATACCACGAGCCGAAATGGACGAGGCTTAAAATACTTAATCATTAAACCACCTAGTAAGATTCCCACAGCCATGGGCAGTACGCTCGTGGCACCGGTGATAAAGCTGGCCCCGGAGCTCGTGTACCGGAACTGGGACTCAATGTATTTGGTTTTATTGATATAATAGCCGCCGAACCCTATGTACCGAAACACACCGCCCACCAAATGAAACATGAAGATCCGATTCCGGGCCAACCGTTTCACACCGTCCCACATGCCTGAGTGCGCACACATACAATAGGGTAATAGTGTTTATTTTAAATGTAATCTAGATTTTATTTAGCCCATACCTCTAAGTCCTGTGATATCGTGCTCTTTGAGATCCTTGGCCTTGACCGAGGCCGTTTTTAATTGTTTAGGGAATAAAAACATTGGCAGGGTGAATATTAATAGCAATACGCCTATAAATACAAAGCCAATCCACCATGCGCCGATAAACCTGGGATCGCGACGAGTTATGCCAGGGTCATCTTAAACGCAATGGTGCAATACTTAGGTTTAGTTATGTTTAGTTAACATGTGTTATATTTAAAGGTTTAATTAAATTTTAAAATTAAATTCTAAAACCACATCAACAAGGTGTTATTTTTTGTGGTCATTTAAATTATAAGCATTTATAGATGGTAATATTATTAAAAATTAAAATGCAATATAAATAATACATACAAAAGGGGTTCTCATAGAAACGCAACGACAGGGACGACATGAGAAAACCCATGGCCGGGCCAATGAGCCTGAGCGCAGTCAATCCGCTAATGAACATGGGTGAATTATTTTTGCTCACACTATCATCGATGTAGGGCATGCCTATAACCCAATAGGCGGTATAGCCGAGGCCCCGGAAAGCGCTGCCTATTAAAAAAATTACAACCGCTGGCCATACCGTCGAGTGCCGGCCTGTGGAGCAGTCTATGTCGCTATGGTTTATGGGGCACATCTCAAACCGGGTGCCGTTCATGGGCACCGAGTGGTCACCGACTTGTGTGTCCCGGTGCAGGAGGTGAGTGCCCGCACCGTATATGAAATAGGGTAATGCGTTTATTAGGCACGACAGGGCCAGTACTAGTTCGCCGGTGGCTATCATACGGGGCCGATTGAAACGGTTGCCCAGGTAGCCCACGATTGGACTTACCTAGATATTTATTGAAATTTATTTTAAATAAATTAGTTTATAAATTACAATTTTAGTTATATATTACAATATTAAATATTTTTAAATGTTTTGTTTGTTTTGAGCTAGTTTTGTTTTTAAAATCAAAATAAGTTTTTTTTAAAAATAAATAACACCTTTTTATCTATTATTTTATAATAATTTTGATTACCGTAACAAAAAATGCTATTATTTTTAATTTAATGTCTAAAAATAAATTGTGACTTAAGTCATATTTGTAATATATAATATTTTTAAAGACATAATTTTGTATGTTATGTATAATTATATCAATGTAAAGTATTAGATGTTAGGGTTATGTAAATAAAAAGATTAATTTTCAAATTTAATTAAAAATAAAAAACTAATACGGACCAACATTTCTACCACGTTGTCGGCAATTAATATAAAACCAGCTATTTTTGAGTCAAAAGCGAACCGCTTTTCTAATGTACTGAACGAGGCTATCAAATAGGTTCCGGTCATACTCTGGACAATGCCTATCAGCGCGAAGTTGAGGGTAAAAAATGTGGGCGTGGCAAACCTCTGTAGCCATTGGGGCCGCCACGAGCCCAGTCCGCACTCAGTCAGCTCCGGGTCATTATCACTGTCCTGGCGCTCAAACTCGTTGTTTTCACTGTTATTTTGGTCATTATCATCACTACCGACGCCCACCTGTTGGTAGGTTTTGGACATAATATAATAGTTTTATTTTTTATATAGCTAAAAGTTTTAGCTGTTTCATGTAAAAATAATAAATACAACTTTCACTTTTACTTTGGAAATAAATTATAATTTCAAAAAACTTATTTATTTACAAATCAATAATAAATACACAAGATCCATTTATAATTTGTATAATTAAGTAGTTTTAATAATGATTTAATTAATTAACTATTTTTATTTATTAATAAATATTATTAAAATTAACAATTAAACACTGTTTAAATGTTTATAACGTATATTTATAATTGAAATTGCAATACAGTGTGGGCTAAATAAAATGCGATAACGTTGGTTGTCTACTTAACCGTGGTTAGATTAGTAGCCTAAGCGACCACATTCCTGTACACCCTTTACACAATGCTCTATTGTAGTAATCATAAGTAATAAAGTCTACAATATTACATAGATTACTATTATTGCCCTTATACATAAAATAAATGTTATCAGATTATCATAGTGTTAAGTTTGTTAGTCAATAAAAATATATTTATTGTAATATGCTGAAAAATTAAGTCACTAGAGTTAGATTTAATATTATAACAAACAAAATTACAGAATATTATTTGTATAAAATTTCAATAATAGTTTAATTAATTAGAGGAATTAATTATTTAATATTTTAAAATTATTTTGACTTTACCCTACATCAATATCTACCTTACACCCACTCACACATCCTACTAATGCAATTAATATACCTGTTGTAATTAACTTATTATAACAATTATTATCATGTGGTAAACTGTAGTGAATTGATTGCAAAATGAATTTGCAGTGAATGAAATGAATCAGTAATTCTTAACATGATAAGTTATCATAAGAAATTCAATAGCATAAAAATATAATCCCTGTTTATTGCCTAATAAGTTAGACAATGATTTACTACGTTTGTACCAAAATGTATTAAAGTTGTACCAAAATGCACTCTCAAATAATAAAATATTTATTTGTATAAATAATTTATAACTACCCAATGCTAATTCCCAAAACTTTTATACTTTCACAAAACAAACTTGTAAAACATATGATAATTTTGTGAACAATAAATAAATAAAGTGATTAGTATTATAATCATGAAGATTAACTTATGGTAATAACAGTATGTTTACAACAAAAATGAATTTCTAGAAAATCCACTTACAATCAGAGGCGGGATTTATTTGCGCGATAAAACTTACCATAATTTTTGTTAAACAATAATATTTAGAAAATTATTACATGATTATTTAATAACATGAATATAAAGTTAAAATTTATTTATTTAATAAAATGGAAATATTGATTTATTAACTAATTTAATATTTAGTTGCAGAATTTCTATCTGGCTCAATATTATTCAGATTACAATCATTAACACTAACATAATCTTTATTATTGCTAATAGTAATCATGGGTATATTAATAACAGCAATGCCGGTAGAGTGACAATCACTACCATCATCAGTAGTGGGTTCATCGTAAAAATTTTTAATCCAATTGGCCATAAAAATGATCACCAAATCGACCATGGCCCCCATAAACATAAAACCAAATGCCACTCCATGTAAGTAATATCTAAACTTATCCTGGTCATATAGCCAACAATTACCACGTTTTCCGCACGTGCTCTCCCATACCAAACACGCCGAGTCTGTGATCGCACCAAATATTAATGGGTAGGGAATGAAGGCTAGGATTTATATAAAAATCAGATTGGTTTAATTAGATTATGATTAATTTAATTATTAAATTGGTAATAATAAGCTAAAATTTAATACCAAATAACGATATAAACGTTGACATCATTCCTATCGCAAAACTCTTATCTTTCGAGTCAACTGATCTGTAAAAATGATTTAATAAATAAATTATAATTAAATACATTTTGATACTTGTTATTATAATAAACATAATAAAATTACCTTAATGTGATTAATAAAGAACCGGTCCGAGTGGTAGACGCTATCATTGAGCCTAACGAGATGATGGACAGGTAGGGCACAATTTTATTACAACTACTCACATCCCTTTTACAGTAACCAGTGGTGGCCGCACCACCTCCTCCTTGACCACCTGAGCCAATACACGCGCACTCAGATAATGTCTGTAATTATTACACTATATAAAAATATGATATCTTTGTAAAAAACAACCTTGTTTGGCCTGTCCAAATGGCCACACCCGGCAAAACATGGGGAAAAATAGGTGGTCACGCCGTCTGCCGCGCAGATAGGGGTAAACAAACGTGTAGTACATTTGCAGTGCTGATTGCATCCATAATTCATTGTAAACCTAATTAATTTACATATCAAATAATAACTAGTAAACTTAATTAAACTGAATTAAATCAAATAATGCAAAATGACAAATTATTCAAATTACCCGCTGTTTGCGACTCTATAGTTACCAATGTTAAGGGCAGGGCAGTTGATGTACATTGCGCCCAATATACCACTACTGGCCAAAAACTCGACCAAAACCATATAGATGACCAAGGATCGGGGGCGTGGTTTAATCCAAGTGATCGCAATGCCCCCAAGCATAATACCCACTGCCATAGCGGGCATTGATGTAGTGCCGGTCAGTAGTCCGGCGCCGGCACTGGTCTGATGAAAGTGGGACTCAATGTATTTGCTTTTAAACATTTGGTAACCCCCGTTACCGATCCAGCGTAGGGTAGATGCTATCAAGTGAAGCACTAGTATAGGATTATTGACCAAGCGTTTGATGGCAGCTATAGTGCCTATTAATTTAATTAATAAATTATTGTTATTATTATTTTTATAACCATAGCATTAATTATAGTTGCCTTTTAAGCCCTTAGAATTGTCCTTCAGGTGCCGGGCCTTTAACGATGCATTTGTCAGTTGTTTTGGGAATAACAACATGGGCAGAGAGGCGATAATCAACATGGTGCCAATAATTATAAATCCAAGCCACCATGCGCCAATAAAACGCGGATCTATACGCGATATACCTGGATTATCTATAAAATATGAATTTTTTAAATGAATTATTATTAAGTTAATACATGTTAATAAAATAGCAATATAATTTTTAATTATTTACAAAAAGCATCTTCGTAATATCTTAGCGTGAACGAGGCGAGTATGAACCCACCGGCCGGGCCCAGCAAATTGACCGCCGATATGAGCGATATATAGACGGGTGAACTGCGTTTGCTAACAATGTCGTCCATATACGGTATACCGATAATGTAATAGGCTGTAAAGCCCAGTCCCTTCAAAGAGCAGCCCAAATATATGATCGCTACGGCCGGCCATACCGTCGAGTGCTTACCGCCCGAGCAGTCAGTGTCGGCGCCGTTTGCCGGACACAACTCGTATCGCGTTTCGTTGCGGCCGAGTGTTGACAGGAGGTTGTCGTCGTGCAAGAGGTGAGTGCCCGCGCCGTATATAAAGTAGGGCAGAGCTGTTGTGAAGCACGACAGGGCCAGTATCAGCTCACCCGCCGCTATCATTCGGGGTCGATTGAAACGACTGCCAAAGTAGCCAATTATTGGGTTTACCTACGATAATAGAAGTATTTAATCTAGATGTAATTAATACTACAATTGTAAGTATAATAATTAATAAGACTTAATAATTAATATTGATTGCATAGTATCCAAAATAAACTAACTATTATTTGCACAATATTATCGGCAATCATTAAAAAGCCGGCGATCTTTGAATCAAAAGCAAAGCGCTTCTCCAAAGTGCTCATAGAAGCGATCAGATAACTGCCGGTCATTCCTTGGATTAGACCAATTAGGGTGAAATTGAACAGAAATACTGTGGGTCGGGCCAACACCTGTAGCCATTTTGGCCGCCACGAGCCCACACCACATAGCGTCACATCCGGGTTCATATCATCGGTGCCATTGTCTCCCCTGTGCTCACACTTGTTGCCCGATTGTTTGTCATCATGTTTAGTGTCCCTAATATTTAAATAGGATTAAGTTATGATTTCATTGATTTGGGGAGATAGATTGTAGTTTACAAAAACAGAAAATATTGTAGTCAAGTATATTACTAAAGCTAATAAACAATTAGGGTATTGCTGGGATTTAAAAAACAGTTAATTTACATTATATTGTTTATGTTCAAACAGCTGACCAGATGTCCAGTTTATTATTATGGATCGGGCGCTGATTGTCCAACAGTTTAATTAGTGTCAATCGTTTGAACCATAATAAAAAAATATAACTTTACTAACAATTTACCAAACATTAAATAATATTACATGAATGGCATAAATATGAGTCCCTTATATTGGATAACATAGTATTAGTTAACATAAGTTTCCAATTTGTATCACCAAGGGTAAAATATCAATTTAATTTTAAATTATAATATAATTTTTTAATATATAAGTATAAGGGTCCTCAAAAAAATTTGGCCGTCGGAATTTGGCGATTACTCGGGAACCGCTTAGGTGACACTAGTGTTGCTTCACACATATATAGAGCCATATCGGGAAAATTTTATAGTTTAAATATATTTTCAGTCACGTGATTATTTTTTCTGGAAAATGGGTAATTTTCGGAACCCATACTTATTTGCTATTGTGGTAATAGAAGGGAGGGGTGGGGGTTAAGCGTGGATAAAGAAGAGTAAAATAAAATTAGATTTAAATACATTGAATTATATTCTTAGATACTACTATGAATGCTGATTATGTTAGTACAAAAAAGTTTTGAAAAATATTAATCTAAACATAAAATATCGTTAATTGAAATATTGAGTTTTAGCTATAAAAACGTAAAAAACTCAATATTTCAATTAACGATATTTTGTGTTTGGATTAATATTTTTGAAAACTTTTTTGTGCTAACATAATCAGCATTGATTGTAGTATATACAAATATAATTCATTGTAGTCGAATCTAATTTTATTTTACCCTTCCATAGGTTAACATGCAAAAATAGGTCATTTTTATTTATTTATTGCATACAAACCTGCAATGCTATCATGATGGTTCTAAGTTTGTGCAACACTGTGACATCTTCTTTATCCACCCTTAACCCCCACCCCTCCCTTCTATTACCACAATAGCAAATAAGTATGGGTTCCGAAAATTACCCATTTTCCAAAAAAAATAATCACGTGACTGAAAATATATTTATGCTATAAAAT